CATTTCCCTCCTATTTGGTTCTATTTTTAATTTACCATTTCAAAATGTCCCAGTGGGAAACCTGACTGCGTTTAAAATTTCGCTGCATCTCTTGTTGAAGATTTTACAATTCAATTCATAATTGAATAAATTTTGCTAAGAACGCTATGTAACTTTATAAGATAAGTGTCCGTTGTTTCAAATACCCATGTTTTCCTTTCTTTAAATTATGGGACTATACAGTTGAACCTACGGAATCGCAAGGGAGCTAGAAAACAATTCCAGTTTAGTTATTTTTTGTCTTAGACAAGGGAATTTTGGGGAAGATGGAAAAGGGGGGTTTCAAAGGCCCAACCGGTGGGATCAAGGGTCGCTTGTCTAGTCAGAAAGCAGTGGTCAAAACTTCACTTGAGATGGAGGGAAAGTAGGAGCCTAAAAGAAGACTTTTTTCTCCCCTTGTTTTCGGCACAGCGAGAGGCCCATGTGGGCATCTTCGAGTACTTCCTCATTTCATTTCTTTTTCTTTCAAGACTTTCTCAGCAATCTCCAAAGAAACCACATTTCTGTTGAGCTGCTATTTAATTTTTATTTTCACTGTCTTTTTACTATTTTTAGTGATTGTCCAGCAATCATCTCCCATCGACATTTCCTCAATCTGATCACATAAATTGAACAGAAATCAGAGGAACAATAACAATTACTTACTTTAATTTAGTCTTTTCTGGTTTAAGTTGTTTTGGGGTTTTTGGTAAGATTGGACACCGGACCAGCGGACTGACTTTGCCTAGATTCTATGGTGTCAACCCTAGCCGCCCTAGGAATTCATGATTTCCCCCAGTTTTTAATATCTCTCAATGGAGAATCTCGCACCGGTAGATCTATTCATTAAAATTTTGTCAGGGGGGAGAACCTCCCCACCCCTTCCTCCGCCCCACCCACCCCACAGGATTCTCGCGCAATACTGTACAGTGTATATGGCGAGTTGACGAGTGGTCCGGTATTCTTCAATCTTCCCTGGGTTTTCTTTATTACCTGAAGTATAGGCCTTTAGAACTTACGAGTCTTGACAGATCTAGATTCTAGATCTATTAGAGGCTCGTCTTGCAGCACTGCTTAACCGGTGTACTCTCTTAGATTCTTGTCTGACCAGTTGCCCAATTTCAATTGCTGTGACTGTGTGCACAATAATTTCAACTGATCTAATCTAGATATAGATCTAGATCTATAGCCTATGTACGGCATACCGTCACGTACGGCATACTGTCAGTTGGCACGCATTTGGCCTAAAATTGGACAACCAGACAATTATGCGATAATCTGGAATGCTGTTTGCTAAACAATTCCGTTCAACATTGTTTTGTTTTCAATTTCAACAATTTTGAGCAGAATGAGACACCTGTGTGAGCAGAAATGATCCATTTCATCTCCAAAAGTAAGAACCGCGTTCAGCCATTACGGCTTG